GCTCCTATCCTAACCCTAACCCGTACCTCTACCCCCCCACAGCTCCTATCCTAACCCTAACCCGTACCTCTACCCCCCCACAGCTCCTTCTGTAGTCCCTCTACCTCTACCTCTATCTCACCACTGACTCTGATCAGTGTTTCTCCTCTGGATAGCTTATCGTCATAGTGATGATAAATGTCATATCCTGTGTGTAGATTTTGGAGCAAATCGGAGCCCAGGAGAGGAACATCGTGGCCCTGCAGCAGGCCGTCCACAACAAAGAGGCTCCGCTCAGAGTGGCCGAGTCCAGACTCCACCGCCGCTCCCTCAGGCCCAACATGGAGCTCTGCCGGGATCAGCCCCAGCTCAGGTATGAGCGAGGAAAAACACAAAAACCTCAGCGTCCCGTCTCCCTTTCGCCGTTCGCTCGTGACCCTGCCACATTAAGTTGGATGGTGTTTTTTCTGTGGAGTTGTCTCATAAGTTGGGGTCTTTGAAAAATTGGAGGCTCAGGTAAAATTGGAATTGGCCTCGTTGGGTTTTATCAATATAGGTATCAGCCTCTATAATTCATGGGCTTTTATTTTCATACTCTGTGTCTTTGAGATGTCCGGAGAGTCGGGGTGTAGTGTGCCTCTTTAAGGAAAATAGGGGTGGAGCTATCCGGGGAAAGAGGTAATGAGGAAAAATGTTTGAAAGGTGTGGCAGGTGGCATGAATAAAGGGAGAGAGGTTGTTGGAATGGAGAGGCTACAAAGAGTCCTGCCGGATGGGGTTGAAGAAAAAAAGAAAAAATCAGCCCACTGGACAATATTTGTGGAAATAAGGAATTTCAAAGAAAAGAAAAAAGGAGTCGAAGCCTGGAGAACTTTTTTTTCCCGCTGGATGTGCTGGTGACACCCATCTAGTTGACTCATTTTTGCCTTTAATTTTTTTGTGCAATGCATTGCTGAAGACTGATTTTGCGACTTATTTTGTACAATTTTGTGGGGTTTTTCTTTTTGTATTTTTGCAAGAGGACCGGTGTTGGATTTACACTATGGAGTGACTTTGGGGGGGGTGATTTTTGACCAAGACTATTGAGAAAATGTGGGGAAAGAAGTGGATTGTTTTTGAATTGTGTGATTGACAAACGAAATACAGGCGACTGATTTGGCACAAAGCGTGTGTGGGGTAATGGTTATTCTTTATAACATTTTGATAAAATAATTTTCACAGATAAAAGTTAAACAGTGTAGGCTGAACGTATTTAGCAACAGTTTTTCTGACTAAGATCAGGGGAATTGTCACACGCTCTTCTGTGCAGTTTGGAGGCAGAGGTCCGGCAGATCGGCGCCTCGCTGGCGTCCCTGAAGCAGAAGCTGACCGACGCCAGAGGGTCGCTGTCAAACCTGGAGGAGTCCCAGATGCAGCTGAAGAAAGACATCCAGAGCAAAACCCACTCGCTGTTCATCGACAGGGAGAAGTGCATGACCCACCGGAAGAGGTACCCCCCCACCTCAGTCCTGTCGGGCCTCTGAGAGCAGGCGGGGGAAACCAAAACGGTTTGAATTTTGTGACTTAAACCTGCAGGATTTCTCATTTTTCATCATGCTGTGTGTTTTTATGATCAACATCATGTACCTTTCTCAGATACAGGATGGTTTTGTAGTCGTTTCTTCCCATTTTAGGGATCTATCTTCTTTTCGGCGTGAGTTATTGTTACATTCTCTCGATCCCATCCTTTTTTAATTTCATCTTTTGTCCCTTTTTTTATTTGTTTTTTTCTCTTCTCCTGTCCCCCCCGGTCAGGTTTGGCATTAACCATCTTATTTCTGTAACAACAAATACATCTTAAATAAATAATAAAGCAGTATTGGATGATCAGAGGAGGCTTCTCACCCTGACAGGCCTCTATTGGCAAAAAAAAAAGCTTGAAACTCGGATTACAATTCTGTTGCCATAATGCTAAACACGACAAGGGGCAAAAAAAAAGATCAACATGAAACCCTGAAATGTTTGTTTCATAGGGGGCAACTCACGTGTTCGCAGACACGGGTGTGGAAGGCATTTATGCAATTGCTGTACATGTTTTTGTTTTTTCTGTGTTTGTTTTTTTCTTTCCTGGTCCACACTTGTTACATTTACTAAGGTCCTGTATCCTACCTGTCCATGTAGTCACCTGTTGTGGGAGGTAGGCTCTGGGATTCATTGGCTTAATATCTATTGTAATGCTGAAATGTTTTAATGATTTGTTTAAAACGTGGAGGTTTCTTCTAGTAGTAGTAGCAGGGGAAGACTGTAATACAATATTTTTCACTATATTTGTATTTGTTTTCTATATGAAACGGATCAGGTAAATGTTAGTTCCGGGGTCAGGCTTTTGTGACTTTGGGGGGAGGATATAAAAGATGGGTCACGTCAGTTGGGACGTGACTTAAGAAGAGGAAACAAGTTTTCCGTGTTTGTCAAATAAAGTATATTCTTCAACCTATCTGTAGCCCGTCTGTTCCACGCCTCGGTAACGAAGAAACAAGAACCAGTTACCAGAACGTGTGTGACTTAAAGGGTTACACAGCGATATGGAACATCAGCTCACTTGTTGGTTTTGTGCTTCCCTTGAAATGATGGATAAATGGATGTTTCTCTTCATGCTGTAACTTTATGTCTCTTTACCAGACCTCAGCTCCAGAGGCAGACCTGAAAAAACAGCATTAGAGCAGCCATTCAACAGTTCTGTGTGGCTCCGTGTGGTTCATAAAGGAAGAAAAAATGTCCACATTTCCGTTCGATCCCCACGTTCATGAGCGTGACCGGTGTGGAGGCCGTCACGACTGCTGGGGGACTCATTATTCAGCCCATTTATGACCCACGAATAAACAGAATCTGTATCTGCTGTATCTTTAAGCCTAAAAAGAAAAAAAACTCCAAACAGGCACCAGACCTGATGCAAAAAATTGCAACTGGAGGAAAAGCTTTTTTTTTAAACTGAAACTAATTCAGGAGGAAGCATTATTTTTAATATTGCACACACATGCAACAAGCACGTCAGCATGTCTGTTAAGCAAAAGTATATATATATATATATATATATATATTTTTTGTTATGCCTGTCTATACGTTTTTTATGAATTATGTTTATTAGGTATTTTTGAACATTTATACAAAAAAAGGAAAAACTTATACAGCACTGATACAAAAAACAAGACAAAATCAAAATTGGAGGCATGTACATGAATTACAGCGTCACACGAGAAACATAACCACTTTATAAATACACGTCATTCAGATTCACATTACTGGTTTTTCATTTTTGAAATGTTGAAATTTTGAAGAAGCAAAAATATTTTAAACATTTGCACCAGATTCTGAGCTATTTTAGAATTGAAACTTTTACAGATGTTTGCACGGGTCCTAAAACGTCTCTCCAGCTCTGCATGTTCAGTATCTGAACAAAAAGCAGCAGCAGGGCCCCTCGGATCCTTCAGCAAAAGCTTTTCAGGCACCTCTCTGCGTTCGTGTGATTGCCTCCTGCTCCTCATCATACAGGACGGATGATGGAACAGGATGCAGCCAGTTCCTTCCACAGTCCGAACAGCAGATAGAGATGAACTATTTTAGTACGGCTGTGAGACCCCGACCAATTCCTCCTTTTGGCCCGTTCTCCGCGCTTTACAAAGGTGAAATCTGGCAAACCAGATCCAAGAATTCGAGGTCAGTGAGCCAAGATAAGACCCAACCCACTTTGATGGAAAATATATGGGCGTGGCCAAGTGGAGGAAGCTCTCATGAACCTACTTTTTCACACATACACTGAAGACTACATCGTCATGTGGAGCATGTAATGTCAACAAAAGTTAAAAGAAAATCTAGTTATGCCATTTTGAACACAGCTAGACATCGTTTTGTTGTGTCTACAGACAATTAAAAGTGTTGCTTAGATTTGCTTTTCAGATCACTGTAACTCAGTTTAAAAGCATATATGAAGTTGTTGCTCTCATTGGACTGATGTTCCACTTTGTTACAACTCAGTTGTCGTGTTTTCCAGTAACTCTCCCCCCCGCTAGAGGGCGCTATCAAGCCTTGGAGCAGGGCTGTCAGGGCCACTGTCCTGCAGGTTTTACACGTTTCCCTGCTTCTACACACCTGATCCTGATCGAATGGACCCCTTCACGACAGTATTAGGCTCTGCGTGTGCTTGTTAAGGTGCACTGATGTGAATCAGGTGTGTTTAAGCAGAGAAACAGGTGACACCTGAAGCCCAGCAGCCCTCACGGACTGGAGACGGACACCTGGGCCTTGGAGCCTCCCATTTCGTTAGTAAATGGTTTTCATGGATTTTAATGTTTAGAACAGCAGCATTCAAGTCTACGGTGGCGTCTAAGAATAAAGAGATTATAGATAAAAGAAAAAATGATGCAGGTGTGTGCATTTATTTATAAAGACATGTGTGAAATAGGTTAAAAAACAGCTATTGGCTCTGACTGATTCATGTTTTGGTTTCTTTTAAACTCTAATAAGAAACAGATACATGTAATGATTTGTGTTGTTTTTGCTGCTTACTTTTGGAGGTTGAAGAGTCTGGTTTAAGAACATAAAGAACAATCCAATCATCTTTTGAATATAGTCCCACAAACTGTGTGAATTAATCACATATTTTAGAAATCTTTATTGTGAGAGTAGTTCATAAACAAGCAAAGCTCCTAGGCCTCCTGGTTGGGAGGACCTGCTCTCCCCGGAGGACTCGCTGAGCCACCGTGTGTCTATTCTTAGACAGAACTCGCTTCACGTTAGTTAGGAGGTGCCACGACTGAGGATGTTACGAAACTCGGCTCCATGCGAAAACCATCGGCTCAGGCACGGAGCTCCGCTGCTGAGCACGTGCTATTTATCTTACGACACCACTATCTGTGGGCACAGTGTGTGTGTGTGTGTGTGTGTGTGTGTGTGTGTGTGTGTGTGTGTG